AGGTGGCGGAAGAGGGATCAAGATGTGTTATAGGGAACAGGAAGAGGCTTGTATTCTAGACTAACAAATAGATTGAAGGAATTTAATTAAAGCGTGGTTTTCCAAGAATTTACACTCTCATAACTAACAAAGAAACCTAGTGAAAAAATATGGAGAATGGGTTGAAGATGAGTGAAAATGGAAGATTGAGTTGAAAAGAGAACTATTTAGGTGGGAAAGGCAACAATGGGATTATTTAATGACTACCATCAAGGACAACCCAATAGTAGAAGGGCTTTTAGATAAAGTAGTATGGAAATGGACACCAAGCGAAAGTTACTCAATGAGTTTTTTTTGTAGAGAGGTGGCAAATAGAGATGGGAGGAAGAGTGATCATTAGAAGAAATTGAGGGGATGGGGAGCTCCGATGAAAGTAGAAGTTTTTTGTTAGACGATTCTAGAAGAAGGGTACCGGTTAAAGCATAATTGGTTAAAAAAGGGCTATTAAGGTTTGAATCAGTTATATATGTCTTATGTAGAAGGTGTTTAGAGATAGTTGACCATTTGTTTTTTGAGTGTATGAGGAGTTAGAAGGTTTGGGCAAAGTCGTGCAATATTTAAGGAATTAAATAAGTCCTACATAAGGAAGTCGTTTTTTTCTTTATTGAATGAAATGAATTTGCTAGAGCTGGCAATTCAAGGATTAGCCATCTATCTTTCTTTGCCATCATCTGGACAATTTGGCTTACGAGAAATGAAATGGTTTTTCAAGGTAAGTTGTGGGATAGGGATCAATGTTTTGACCTAATTAAGGTTAGATTGGCATAGTGGGCTAAAGCAAAATGGCCGAAAGATAGTGGGTCAGTAAATGATATGATTAGGCACCCAACCTTAAGTCTAACTAAGAGCACCAAAGTTAGGGAGATAAGACAAATGGAGTGAAAGAGGTCATTGAGAAGAAAGTTTACGTTCAATGTTGACGAGGCAGCCAAGCGTAATCCAAGAAAAGTAGCAATAAAGGGGTTTTTATAGATAGCGATGAAACGGTTAAGATTATGTTCTCTAGGTGCATAAGAAAGAAAGAAGCTAATATGATATAGTTAATAGCAATAAAAGAAACTCTAAAAATCTTTGAAGCTTTTAAGTGGTCAAGGTCACATTCTTTGAAAATTGAAAATGGCTCCATGAATGTCATGGGATGGTTAATGAACCTAGAGAGCGCTGCATGAAAATTGAGGAAGGTAATCTAACTATCGAAGAAGTTAAGAGGAAAATGTATTAATGGAGTGTGAGACGTGTCTTTATAATAGCTAATGAAATGGCAGATGAACTAACTAAGTTGGGGATTATGAGAGAGAAGGATCTGTTGATAATAATGGAATAACAAGTGTGGTACGGCTAGAAAGGTGCTAAGAAGGTTACTACTAGATAGGTGATTTCGGGCAGCTTTCATCTGGAGCTAGGGTGTTTTTCTTACTAACTGTTTGGTTTTACGGTTTTTCTATTTTGAGCAAGGTCCTCAGTTATGGGAGAGAAGATATTTTTTTTATAAGATTTTTTTTCATGGATTTAATCTATTTTGTGTTTCTCGCAAATTATAAATAGAAGGTTGATTTTTTAATGTAGATATGTCTAATTTTATCATTTTTGTAGTTGTTATTTTCGTTTTAGAAAAAAGGTAAAAAACGAATGATGAGAAAAAATGAAAAAAGAAAGAAAGAGAGGAAAAGAAAGGAAACAAAGCATTTTCATAGGAAAATGGTAATAGAGACTATGTGTAGTGATTGTTACTAAGGATGGGAGCTTTGGTTGAAAAATATAAGACCTAGTTGAGGAGGAAAAACGCAAGGGATTGATGGAGGGAGGGTAGGAAAAATGGGGACAATATGCTTGTTGGACTAGGGAATTTTGATTTTAAGTTCAGGTAAGAGATAAGGGTTGCTGTGATGTCTTTCTATTGGTGTGATTGGAGAGGATTTTGCTACTTTGTTGTGAGGGAGCTTCAAGAATTTCAGCAAAGTGAGCTAAATCATGAGAGAGAGGTTAGAAAAATAAAAATTATAATAATAAAAAAAGGGGATAAAGAATGGTCCAGTGGGAGACCTAGTAGCCGCAGTAAAATTGTTCGTTATTGCTTGGGAGTTTAACTCTCACTGCAAGTTGTTTCCATCATGTTGATAGAAAAGGAAGAAAAGAAAGAAAAAAAGAGAAAAAAAGAAAGAGAATATAGAAAGTGAAAAAAAAAAGTGAAATAAAAAAAATAGAAGATAAAAAAATACTAAAAACATATTAATACAATTAAAAAAAAAGCCAATGAATATTTTGCATGTGCATTAGTGAGGCATTCTTCAAATAGAAAGGGTGAAGAGAGGAAGGGGGGATTCAACCTTTCGTACTGGGTTTAATCCTTGTGTAAGGAAAAAAGAGATAGGCTTCTCACTTTGGGGTGGTATCAAGTGAGAAAGGGGAGGATTCCTTTTACCAAACTAGTTTCTATCCTTCGATAAGGAAGGTGATAGGATTCTCATATAAGGGTGGGGCGAGGAAGGGTAGGGAGAGGGCCAGGGGACAGGTTCTCTTTTAGGTCAATGGACTTCCCAAGAAGGACGGAGATTTGTGGCTGCTCTCTATAGGTTTTGTCAAGGAAAGGGGGGTGGTGGAGAGGGTGCCAGGAGGAGCTATGAGGTGTTGCAAATGAGAGGAGAAGGAATACTAAAGGCATTCGATTCATGTTACTGCTAAGGGTGCTTTGATTTTATGATTGAGGGCAACATGTGTGCTTTTTCAAATTATGGAATTTGGTACTAGGAAGGTAGACTTTAAGAGGATGATTCCTGTTCTTCGACCATGTGTAAAACCAAGATATGAATTTTTGCTTTATGGATGGCTAGGGATAACAGATGAATGAGTTTGCAACCTCCTCTGTTAGCTACGAATACATTTGTCTGAGTTGTTTGAGTTCTTTGGGCAGCGGCAAAGTCTAAGGCACTTTCTTTTTTTACCTTGTGATTGAAGGCAATTGTGGCATGTTTTTCTCTCAACTTTGCTGGTTCATTTTCATCTTGACTGAGTAGTTTGAGGTCGAGCTCCTTTCTGCTTGTGTGGTTCAAGAATGCATGAACAGTGCGAGCAAGGATGAGAGTCGCTGCTCAATGATGATGTTAGCCAATGAATAGATACGACTGTGTTTTATGGCTTTGAGTTCGCATAGGATTCATGTTTTTGGAGTTGGGATCTTGTAGGCATATAGCCATGTATATTAACAGGTCTTTTTTGACCAGGTTTTGTCTTGGGGTTGTGAGCTACAATTTATTTTTCTGCTGTGGCTAAGGGCATTTTGAGCTTCACCACCTTTGTTTCTCATCTGCGGTGAACTTTATTCGTTATTGTATAGCTTTTCAAGCTCGAATTAGAGTTTTATGCCATGGAAAGTCTTCTGCTAAACAAGCATGAGACTTGGAATGACACGTGGTTATCAAGTCTAATAAATTCACTTTTCAAAATATAAAAATAAAAAATAAAAAAGCGACAATTTATGAGATGACAAAAAACCAATAAAGTTAATTATATATATATATATATATATATATATATATCCCATGGACTTGAATTAATATTGGATGATCAAAAACTCAAATAATCCGAACTTAAGTGGATTAACATTTAAATTCACATAAAGTTAAGTCTAAATAAAATTAGTGTAAATTAACCCAAAGATATACTTAATTAAAGTTAAAAATTAAAATCAAATTAGCTTTAAATTATTCAGATAAAATATGATGTCTACAAGAATCAAGTTTTGCTACGCTTGACATCTTTCTTGCCTCAAATCGAGATAGGTGACACATTCCCAAGGATCAGTTGCTACAAGTTTTTTTTTTATTATTTTTATGACGATTTTTTCATTTTATTTTTTTTTTAAGTTTGGGGAATGCTTCAAAATCTAAACACAAGTTCACGTCATAGTTTCTGCTTTTGAAATTTTATTTTAAATTGTATAAACAAATAATACACGAACGGATTCAAAAACTAATTAATATAAAAATAAATAAGGATAATTGTTGAAGAAATTAACCTTTATCTGGATTTTAGTAGCAGATAGTTATGGTGGGATTCAACGGATAATTGAAGATTGAAGACGGCTTGGTATATACAGTGTCCTTTGTCTTGCGTCTAGTCTTAAGTGTCTAAACACTGGCTAGTGTCTTGTTTACTTCTTTTCATTTTAGCTGTATTGAAACGTTAAATGATCAAGTTGTTTTGAGTGTTTTTAGTTGTGCGACACTTCCTTGTGTCTTTTTTCATGCTTTTTATTTTGTGTTGTACGCACATCAATGCTGTCATTTTGTTCTTCTGTTAAAAGGCTTAACAGCCATAGATGTTCTTTCTTTGTGTTTTGTTACCATTGCTATTGCACAAAAAACTGACTCACCTCGATTTAGTCTCCCAAGACTGAATCTATGGGGTTTCCAAGTATTTTGGAGAGTACATATATGAAAATACAACCGTTGTAGTGTAGTTGCTTCCTATTTCACTGATTCCTTTTCTTCTTCTTGATTATTCTCTGGTTCTCTATTTTTTAATAGCTTTTATTCTCAAAAATTTTCTTTCTTGAAAATACTTCTTCAAGAACAAAATTCAACATTGAGCAAATATATTGAAAATTTTATATTTATCTCTAGAAATTAATACAACCACTTACATAACAGTCTTAATTAAATCGAATTTGTAGAGTTCGTATATTTTTGAGCAGTCGATCTTTTTTGGACATTTCAGAGTCGGAGAAAATAGCATTTCCATTAATTTTTTCTGTTAATATTATTTGGTTGGAATTCTACATCTCCAGCGTAGCGCACAAAAACGAAAAACAAACATTATATAACTTATTTACAGCAGGAAAAAAGATAAAAAAGTATTACTGTAGATTTAGTAGCATAATTATTGTACTCATTATCATTATATAGCATTTTAAAACAGCAAATAAAATACACGAAAAGCTTACATCAAAAACATCCAGAAAATTAAATGGGAATTGCATTAGTGACCGAAGGGTAAACAACAGTGGCTGGATGTGCCTTGATACGACGACCCTTCATGTGCGTGAAGCAGTAGACCAAAGCCCCCACTGGCCACTCCACAATCGCTGCAGCCGCGAAGGCCAGGAACCCCAGCGTTGGTCCAACCACCTCGCACCTGCAAGGGTTGCTGGCGGTGCCACATTGAAGGCAGATTGGAATCCCAACACCCACCATTTTTGGATATTAAAAGCAACCAAGAAGTATTGAGGTTGAGTAGGCTGATGATGGGAAGTTTCTTGGGTGAATTTTTTTATCATTTTAGATGTCGATTTGAGCAATGGAACTGTGGTATCGGCATGATGTTCGTTTTATAGGGTCGTTGCTTAATTTGGTGGTTCATGCCGGGGCTTTTGGGTTTGTGACACGTGTCATTTGATGGAACATTTGGAGAACACACTTGCTGCTATGTGGGGTTTATACACGTGTTTGGGTTTCATTGTTTAAGTGCTGATATGTACATTTGAATTGGGTCAAGAAAATACAGTTGCCCTTTTTTTTTTTTTGGGTTGCATTAAACGTTCAGTACCAGTGTGCAAGGTTAATACGAACAGTTCGGACTAAAAACAGTTTTCGGCCAATAAACGCATTTGGATCGAGGCTAGGACTTAGGATACGTACTGTAGATACGTCAACTGTATTGGACCTTAGTTGGATCTGAGCCCAACCCTGAGATTGTCTCTGTGAATATGATAAGAGGAGCTGCAAGGGGAATGAGTAGATGGTAGCCGACGAAGCCAATTGAGACAATGACTTGAGGAATGGGATAATGCTTCTCAATCGCTCGTCAAAGAGGTGGACTCCCGATTCCTACCATTTTGTCATTTTATGCTAATCCTTCAAGTGCTCCTTATGTATCTTCTCTCCTTCATTTCATGGTAGCTGATGCAATTTATTTTTACAGCTTTTTTTTTTTATTTTTGTTAACTATTAAATGAGAAGAGAGCATATCTTTATACAAGATTTTTCAAATGAATATATTAAAGGGTTCTCTTTTAAAATGAAGACTTGAATCCAATTTTTTACGCAGGAGATATATACACTTAATATTAAATCAACTACTCCAGTTGAAAGCACTTGTTAAATATGTATATTAAGATTAGCAGTTACTTTTCTTTGGATAGCTAGCTCAACATGGTCATGCTTAATGCTAGTTGTGTGAGAGCTTTAATTTGCAATATTATTGAAAAGGTGAGACAGGATAATTTTCTTGGTAGTATGGCTAGCAAAGGGGACTGCAACGCCCGAAGGATGCTGAGAATTTCTAAAGGATGGTGCACTGCTTTCAAGAAAAAGGTAAAAGAGCTGTATTCCATGCCTTCATGATCTTTCCGAAGGGTATACGATTCCCTTTATGATTGTTAACTCTTCACAAGAAAGCTTCTCCTCAAATATGCATGCTTTGAAATCCAACGCAATCTAATTTTTAACCATTCAAGAGGCAGTCGTAATTCTTGAATAGGTTTTTTTAAATCAATCACTTGAAAATCAATAAATGGAAAGAAATTTTGATATTATTTTATTCTTCAATTCAAAAAAAATTTATTAATATAAAAAATTGATACAACACTGACATCTCAAATAAAGAAAATCAATCAATTGAAAGAAAAACAATTAAAAACTTAACTGAAATGTTAATGTTGACATTATTTTCACACACTGTCGTTATTTTTAACCCTTTTTATGAATTTCAGATTATTAAGCAAAATTTATTAATTGAAAGCCAAATCAGAGCTGAAGAATAATGCCAGGCTTGCACTTTTTGTAAAGTTGGAATACATATATGCTTGCAAAGCTTTGCTTGGAATTAAACAAATAGCTTCTTAGAACTATGGAACCAAACAATTGTAAATAATCAATTTTAAATGTCTCTTCCAGTGAGTTACATTAACTAATAAATTTCTCTTCTCTCAGCAACCCAGCCCGTTAAGCATATTAGTTTTGACTACTTTTGGATTATATTTGGTTCTATCATTTGGTTCTTTTATTTATTTTTTAATTTTTAACGAGGTTAATTAAATTAAATGTAAAGATTTTTTTAATCAACAAAGCAAAAGAAGGAAATAGAAAATAGTTCACCATAGATGACAAAAAAAATAGAGAATATTACTGTCCATCTTTTGAAGAAAAAGGGGGAAAATAGAAAAGAATTGGAGTCTTGCCTAGACTAGCAAGTCGACTTGAGCACTGTTTTGTTTGTAAAGAGTGGTGTACAAACTTGCATACAAAGTTTACTTGCGAACTAGGATAGACAAAAAATGGAATCGATTCTTAATTAGTTGGCTCCTAAAGTATCATATGGCACTGATCATCGACAAACTTGAATAGAAAGTATTCTTCTCTGAGTTTAACATCCTGGCTATAATATACTAAGTGAGTATGCTTTTCATGAGATTCTTAATCATTTTTCATATTTCAACATTTGCTCCAACTCTGGAGTTAAGAGATAATTACGTCAAATTAATATCATTTTGTATCAATCCAAGTGATGCTTTTTGTATTAAAGAGAAAAGAAGAAATTTGTTTTTTTTTTTAAAACAAAAGGGGCTTGTATGGAGCAACTTCACCTCTTGCATGCCTACCCCAATTGAAAAAAGGTTGCTGTAGGGTCACTTACATTTACAACATGCACATGCCATTCGCTTTCATAAGCATTAAAAACCCATTGAAGTCTCATAATTTCAACTCTTTCTCACCCACTCCCTAATGCTTAAAAAAAATAATTTAAAAAAAAACCTAAAATTACTAACACGATCACCTCTCTGCTCATTTAACAGGAGGCAATAAGCCAATGCATAATCAACCCAAGTCCCAACTTCTCTCTTCTTTATATATATAACTTTATATTGCATTCTATTCCTCTCTCTCCCTTTCTCTCAGCAAAAACATGGCGCCCCATACACATCAAAAGAATCCTCATCAATCACTGCTTATAATCTTCCTAATTCTTTCAATTTCATTTCCAACTCCAATCAATGCATCAACCAAGAAGCTCGAAGAAATAGTACCAGTAGTAGTGCCCCAAGCACCAACTACTGAAATTAAGTGCGGAACATGTCCTTGTGTGAATCCATGCGACCAGCAGTCACTGCCACCGCCTCCACCACCACCACCTTCTCCTCCTCCTCCGCCAAGGTTCATCTATTGTGATCCAGTTCCGACGACTCCGCCGCCCCCAAGATTCTATTACGTGACTGGTGTGCCCGGTCAGTTGTACACAGCTGATGCAGATGATAGATGGACATTTTTCTCTAGTGCTGGACGGAATGTTGTTGGGATTTTGCTGCTTTCCTGTGGATTTGGGTTGTTGGGCCTCTTGACAACCTGGTAGACGTCTATGACCGGACCAGCATTTCTCTATTTTGGAATATATTGTTTTAGGTTTGTTCTTGGTTTAATTACTTTAAATGTTCTACCAAGAATCGGAATCTATTTATTATGTGTTTATATTTAATTTGCTTGACCAAATTCATTGGACGTGAATATATTTATGTTTATATTCTTCAATAATAATCTTGCGCGGTTTTTTTTTTTGTTTTCGTGCAATTGTCAAGAAAAGAGAATTTCGGTTGTTAAGAGAAGAGAGATAATCATGTCAGTTGTCACATGTAATGCATTGCAGAAAAGTTAATTTGGATGCTTCCTTCATATATTGGAACTATAAGGCAGACCCAAAAACATTTAAAAGTGCTTCTATTTTGCACATAGGCCAACTGCATATATATTAAATTCCAAGCCAATTGGTAAAAGGGTTTTTCTAACAATATTTTTCTTTCTTTTGATAGTAAAAAAGAGGAATTAATTTGATTAATGCCTCATTTGGAGATGATATGCCATTACTATACAAACAACCTTCAATCATGTCTCCTTAGCCCTAATAATGAACAACTAAGATACTATTCTAAAAAGAAAAAAAAATTATGTCATGAGATTAGTTAAAAGGAGAGGCTAAATCCTTGTTTAAATCTCTTTTAAGAAAATGAATATTCATTCATTTGAGTATTAATGAAAGTCCTTCTTGATTGCCTCCAACAAGGAGATGGGCATCAATATTCTATATGCTTGACGGCTTTGGCTCTCCTCTATTACTTTTTTACTATTAATATAATACTCTTAAATACGTCAAATATCACAGCTTAAATGTGTGAAATTCATATTTAATAGTTAGGATTAAATAGGTGATGATTGATATATTACAAAGTATAGATTAAAAATGTACAGGATTGGAGCTCAAACCCTTGCTTAACCGAAATTAATCTGCCTATTGGTCTGAATAACTCTGTAGTAATATCATTGAGATGATTGGAATGGACAGTTAATAACTGGTTCTCATATAAATATAAACAATGATGAATGATATATTAAAAGGTATTGGTTAAAAAGAATAATGAGGGAGAATATTCCAAACCTGACTCCACTTGATTTTGATACTAATCCAGAGTTATTTCTTGCAGACGTCTAAGTCTCACACTGAACAAAAAAAAGGCATATCTACACAAAACTCTACTACCATATAGACATACTGCATATTGGATGCATGATGTGGGTTGCAATAAAACAATTTAAATTTGACTTAATAATCGTTATCGTTTTGAAACAGAGCTAAGATTTGAAATTCAGATTTCTTTCTCTCCTATAAGACTTTCTCATATGTAAATCAATTAAAAAGCTAGAAATGTGCTTTGTAATTATGTTCTTGTATACGTAGGGTAGTGGTAGAGGGGTAGCTTAATCCTTGACATACGTCTGCAATACTACCAAACTAAGAGTAGTTTTTGCAAATTCTCTACGGAATGAAATATCATTGCCTTTCAAAAAGAAAAAATAGACAGATAGGGCCAGACATGTTGGTTCCAGAGGATAATTATAGAGCCGCAAAATTTCATGTGAAATCATCCTAGGGAAATTCAACTCAGGCCTGCTGCTAGCTAGGCATGTGTCTATTGTGCAGATCACTAGTTGGGCGTCAGTGCCTGCCCCAAGAAACAATGGAATCATATCGACATGGCCAGCAGCTCTAACCATTAAAGTTTCATAGCAAGACAAGTATCCTTTTCATCTTCAGAAAATTCTGTCCAAAGTTGTTCTGGGCTGCCATTACTGACGAAGCCACTGCAAATTACTCAGAAGTGTGACCTCCATCAGTTTACAAATAGAATATCGTGGTAGGTGCACCATCCATTTCACCTGCCCCTCCTACTTGGCTTGATCAGCCTCTGAACTTTAAATTTCTGTACTGATCTCTCTCGAGGAGCATTTCATACCATATGTAAAGCAAGGGATCAATTATTAGCTAGATGTGTAATGTCTAAGTGAGTGATATTTTTGTGATAATGGATTCATTCTACTAAAGTTAGGAGGTCCCTGGTCGGCATGCATTGAATGAGGGAAGTTCTGGAGAAACAGCCACATCCTTTTCACAGTTAATTTTTGGGCTCAATTATATATGCCGTTGATGACTTTCTTGGTAGATGTTTGACACATAGAGCATAAGAAACTGAATTGTGCATTTATAATTTCAACAACTTTTGTTGCACTTTGTACTTGTTCAGTAACTCTTTCTAAGGCCCTCAATCCAAACATGCACCTACTAGAAATTATAAAGCTAGCAATCGTACAACATTAGATTATAGGGTTCAATTGACCAACTACCAACATGTGCACTAAACAAATTTTGATAGCATTTTGCTATTTTTCAATTGGTATATTTTTTAAAAAGGTGCTTACATCATTATTTAATTAATCTATTTTTAAATACTGTCAAAATTCTTCCTAGCTATACATATCATTTCAACTTTTTCCATGATTTTTGTGTTGGATGTTTTGCAATTGATATAACATGTTACTGTTGGATAGGCTATATATTGACAACATATTTTTAGTACAAAAGGGGCTTGAATAGCAGTAAAACCCAAATTCCGATTAAAGCATTGTTGGCTTGCAGCTTGGGTGCATATAAGAGCAGTCCCTCCTGGAATGGCGACTGTTCCACCGCAGCTAAAATTTCCAAAGGCCAAAGCCCAGTTCATCTCCAACTCCCATCCACTGTACATAAATTTCGGATAGCCCACCACAGGCTTTCATCTGGGTTCAGGTCATTCCTCAAGGACGAAGATCAAGACATACAAGTCCTTTTCATGGAATTCGTTGGACCCATTGGGCCTCTTTACTTGAGTTCTAAATTGCCCCCTTGTTTTCAATACAGTTACATCCTCTTTGACCTTATGAGAAAAAAGAAATTAATCAATTTTTACTGGAAAGTTAACAGACGAAGAAGAATAAAGGTTAAAATTTTTTAAAATTAATATATTAAATTTAACTCACAATCAAAAACTTTATAATAAATAATAATTTTTTGTAACATGTAAAGCAAAACAATTAAGAAAAAAAATTATAATAATCTTTTAAAAAAGTTGTTCTTGACCTATGAATAATGAAATTGTATCAATGGTGTGTTAAAAAAAAGAGTATAAAGTAAAAATAAAAAGACAATGCTTGTTGGCTCTAACTTCATAACATGTGTAACCCATCAAGACTTATATTTATGCATTATGCTGCTGGTTGAAAATTGATAAAGATTTTCTGTGCTAGTCAATAAATAAAGATTAGAGAAATAAATTGATTTTTCTTTCGATATTGATATATAATTAAAATGAGGTTTATCAAGAAAGGATGACATCCAATACTTGCTAAGATTTTTTGTAAACCAAAAAGCTCTGCATGGAGATTGTGCAAGAGCCATGTGTTTCAAAAGGAAATGGGTTTGAACTTTGGTTGTTCTTGCGGGCAGGTTGTTAGGTTTTAGTTGTATTCTGTTTCATTATATGTAGCTTTTTTTATATTGGGGCATGTCCTATATGTTTTTGCTGTAATACTAGCAAATTGAGGTAATTTTTGTACACATTTTTAAAGAATGAAATTTCATCAAATGCTTTTCAAAAAATAAAAATTAAAAGACAGAAGAGAAGTGAAAAAAAAAAAGAGAGAGAAAGAGGTATGGAGAAATAAAGTTGAGTAGGATTTATGACTCTTTTATTATTTTATTATTTATATTAATTATTAAATAAAAATTTATTTTAAAGAGAATTAAAAAATATACAATAATTTAAATATTAAAAATTTTAAAGGATCACAACCCAATAAATATACTATCTTTCACTCTTAATTAAAAATTATATAATAAATAAAATAATTTATTTTAAAGGACCACGACCACCATCCCTTCACTACCCTCCATCCCTGCCTCGTGATGACATTCTTATTAAAAAAAAGTAGAACTACGAAAGGGAGTAAGTTTATCACAATTGAAATATATAATCGTAATTTTTATTTTATTTAATTTAATGATTACAATTAAACTTAACTGCGACAGCAAAGTTAAATATATTCTTATCTATCACTACTACAGATATTTTCATGAGTAGAGAAAGGGAAAATTATCACTTCTGTTTCTATCTATCTTTTTCTAGGTTTTATAGATTATAAAAGTACACATATATATATATACACCCTCTTTATCGGCAATTAAAACAAGTACTTAAGTTGAAGGCTTGAAAGCATTTTTAGCAGATTCTTGTAGGGTGAAGTTATGCAATTCAATATGTATCTCAAAGAGAGATTTATGCAATACCTCAAATACTTATTCAATAGGTTTAATTAATAATTCAACCATCCTCACTAATTAATCACCTCCAGTGGGCCAAATACACCCTCCCCAGTCCTTCTTCACATGCATTTCTCTTAATTTATAATTAACACTCTCAAAAGGCAAATAGTGACTCATTTTTACACCCTATAAACCTCCTTTTATCGATATTTTTTTATGACAATAATTAAGCTCCTAGAGGTTGCTTTCATAATTTCTTGTAATATTTCAATTATTCATTTTCCTTTAAAGCTAGAGCAATTTCAACAGATCACCACACAAATCACACCCCCACTCAACCTCTTCTCTCCCTCTCATCTTTCCAAGGCCATAATCATAAAATCATGGCCCAAAAATTCAATCAAGAAATCTTAGCCTCAATCTTGGTCATTTTCTTACTCAATTTTCCAGCCTCAACCTTTTCAGAACCAGAAATTTCTGACCAGAGCAAAACAATTGAATGCGCCAACCCTTGTCTACCTCCACTTATACCCGTTAACTGGCCACCACCACCATTACCGCCAGGGCCACCACCATTGCCACCAGGACCACCAACTACCGCCAGGGCCACCAATACCGCCAGGGCCACCGCTGCCACCACCATTTCCATTTCCATTTCCACCTCCACCGCCAATGTATGCACCTCCACCTCCTAACCCCATTTGGCCTTTCTTTCCGTGGTACTT